ATATTATCTAAGAATTCTTTGATACATTTTTACTTGCCATAGAACCTATCAACAAAATTTCCAGTGCACATTTGATGTAAGCCTCCAAATGCTTTATTTAGATAACAGTGATATTAATTGTTATCATCACAAGCTTGGTGTAGGCATTGCCAAAAACGAACAGGCATATCATATATCATTGATGCAGGTAATGCTGAATCTAATAGGCATAAGCCATTGATGGTTTTGAAAGTATGCTTAAATACATTAATCTGATCACAAAAGCATACGGATATAAAAGGGGCTTACTTCTTGTTAAAACAGATTTCTGCACCACTCCTCGGGTTCATTCAAAAAGATTCACAACATCCTCATCTTCGCTTGATATCTCATTACCCTCTTGCAAATTCACATCAACGCATGTAGAAGACCTACATTATATTAATATATATATATATATATATATATATACATCAAGAGGGATACTAGAATGTGAAAAATAAGACAACATAAAGAATAAAAGAATTATTACTTACGGATTTGTGAGTGCCGGACAATTTCGTTTATCATGTGATTAGCCTACTTTACCACACCCGTGATAACGTCTCTCTCTTTTATTTTTGACTCTAGCCATTGCTTTCTCTTTTCCTCCTTTCAACCTTTTGTTGCACCCCTTTGCTCGCACTTGGTCGGGTTCATTGAAACTATTTTGAAAAGTGCAAGAACCATGTGCACTAGTACCATCACCATCACCTATTATATTACTACCTATTGAATTACTTTTCTCGGTGAAGCTCATTACAGCCATGCGGCTACTAAGAAATTGACTTATTTGCTCATTAATGCTACGCAAACCATCGATAAACATCGTTCTTGTTTCTTCACATACGAGGGACTTGTCAACTAAATCCAAAGATGATTGGATAAATTGACTCCACGTTAAAAGATAAGAATTGTCAGAGGTTATCTGCATGCCTTTATTATCAACCACTGTCCCTGATTTTGCAGTCTTAGTCCACCTCTTTAAGATGTATTTATCGGGCAATATTTCAGCATCAAACTTCATCAAATATGAGATAATGTGTGTACATGGGATTCCGGCGCTTTCGAATTTTTTACAACTACAATAAACCAAATCCAAGTCCTTGTCATAAACGATTTCGCGGACTTTGCTTGTTGCGAGCTTCTTTCTTTGAATTTGATACACACGGCGATTGTCGGTTTCCCTAACAAACTGTAACTTGTAGTTAAAGCTGTCACACACTTCAGCCTCAAACTTGAAATACATCTCATTAGTGTAAATATCAACCATTTGCTCCAAAAAGTCATGATTTATTCTAAGTTTAGGTTTCTCAATTACATCTTTGTGATCGGCCATCAACTCCTCGTGACGTTGGCGCACTAGTCCCCTGCCAAACTGTATCATAAAATCCACCAATGAATTATTCTTCGAAACAAATTTCTTGAAGAATGCATGTCCACTTTCTGCTCGTTGGCTACTTGACATGTCTGCTGAGAAAATGTGATTAACATATGCAGGAATCCATCTTGACCGAAGTTCATATTGGTCTTGCAACCACCTGTTTCCTTCTAACCCACTTTTCTTAATCAGACTTTCCCATTGTAAATCAAATTCTTCAGGAGTCTCTGATTTCCAAATGCAAGCCGAGAACTCACTTTTATAAATACTATACTTCACTGCATCAATTTTCTCAGAAAACTTCATTAATATATGCCAACTACAATACCTGTCAAAAGAATTAAATAAAGTGTTAAAAAGAAAGACTATGCATATAAATATTTTTAATAATATACACAAACTATAATACCTGTGAAAAGTATTTGGAAGAACAAGAGGGAATGCCTTAGTCATCGCTGGGTCTTGATCGGTAATAATCATCTTCGGGGCACCACCAGGCATACTTTCCAAAAATTGATTAAATAACCACACAAAATCATCAACGCTCTCATGATTCAAAAATCCACAAGCAAAAATAATTGTTTGACCATGATTGTTAACCCCCATTATTGGTGCAAATATAAAGCCATAGCGATTAGTGTTGTAAGTAGTATCAAAGATTACAACATCACCGAAAAATTTATAAGCCCGCAGTCGCAGTTGACCGTATCAAACGATAGAGCCCAAAAATCCTACAGGGTCCACACGGTCGACTGCCACGGTCGACCGTCTTCAGCTCTAGCCTCTTCTCAGCTTCTGTGCACGTTCGCGGTCGACCATGGATCAGTCTGACAGTTTTTTCTGGACTTTTTGAGCTGTTTTCTTCGTGATTCCAGTTTGGCTTCGACTTTTGGGTCTACACTTTAGACTAACATTGAGGGATTATGTTTAAACTACTAAAGATTTGATGAGGCTGATGTAAAGATTTGATAAGAATAATACAAAAAAAGAAGAAGAATAGAATCCGTTATAACATCATTAACCTAAAGTATTGATCATCCTCATGAAGCCGACACGTGTCGGATCTTAGCATCAATCATGCCAGCTCTCACATGGTTGGCTTTAATAAAAAGATATGGACCATGTTGGCTTTAATAAAAAGAAACGGACCTGGCATCACATCCTTGGTTTAACGTTATCCTTGGAAGAAAACGAAAGATGCTTGGTCTTAATAAAAAAAATTGACGCTTGACTTTAATAAAAGAAGTGGATGCTTGGCTTTAAGCAAGCCTTAATATTGTGTTATTTGTTTATTTATTGCACTGCTCAACAAGTCGATAATCACCATCTCAATATCACCTGCAAAATTTCCCAACTAGCATCTACTATTAACTACAATCTCTTTGTCATGATTTTCTATAATAAATCCTAGTAATTATATAAGAAGATTTTTAAAAGGGGAATTTTTTTTTAAAATAGCCCATTTTTGCTAAATATTTAGCAAAATAGACATCTTTTTGGCCATTAGGCCAAAAAGAGGTCGATTTTGAAAAAGAAGGCTCAGAAAAACATACGGGACTACTAGTCTCATATGTTTAGAGCCAACTTAATCACCGATTAGTGGACTCAGAAAACATACAGGACTACTAGTCCCGTTTTTTTTCTGAGTTCATTACCAAAACGTACGGGACTAGTAGTCCCGTACATTTTGCAGAGAAATATTCACCTGTGCCCAGCAAATCCACGGGACTAGTAGTCCCGTGGATTTGCTAGGCAGAGCCAAAACATGCACATGCCTCATTTATCGATATACGACCAAAATTTTTACCAAAAATATATCATTTATATTGTATACTTTGACAAAAGTTATAAAATTACAACATCACAACACAAATGTCAAAAATACACAACATCACCACACAAATCCTACGTAATCAGCAACATCACAACACAAATCCGACGAAATACACATCACATCCAAAATCTGACGAAATACACATCACATCCAAAATCTGACGAAATACACATCACATCCAAAATCTGACAAAAATACACATCACAAATCCATACGATAATATATATCAGTCTAAGCTAAACAAATCCAAATGTATCAAGTCTACCCATACGATAATATTTAGTTTAAAATAAACAAATCAAATGTCAATAAATCCATACAACAATATATATCTTAGTGGAAAAACTAACAAATAAAAAATTCACCCCTTCCCTGTTGTCTCTCTCTTTGCACTCGTTGAGATCGTCGGGGTCCTCCTTCGACTTGAGCTTGTATATGCTGGCTCTCCGGTTGTGTGTGGGACTGTGACGGACCGGGTTGCTATGACGAACCAGCTTCATCGTCGTGCGTGCAAGGTCTACCACGTCTACGTCGGCGTGCATATAGAGTATCTTCAAGATCCACCTGCTGACGGCCTTCATGTCGATCCTCATGAGTTTGTTGAAAAGCTCTACGAACTCTTGTCACTATCCGATGCAATATCGATACGTGCATTGAATCTCCTGTGGCGGTAGCTATGCCCTACTTTGCAACCCCCTCGACCTCGTCCATAGCATCTATCTACAATTACATAAAAATATTGATATAAGAAACCAAAAGCTAACAAGAGATTGAACATTCTATTATAATTTTCGCAATTTACTTACCCATCGTCTCTCATCTACCCCTCTTCGTACATATCAGGATTGTTGGGAGCGAATATCGATTTCGTCGACTGGAGGTGTCCTCCATTGTAAGATAAAGCTGATCAACAATAAGTTAATGCCGATCATTCCATCTTGCAATGTATGAATGATGCGTATTCCCCAGTCAATCTGATGACCACCTTTAAAATTCTCTCTATTTTTTTGACATATTGTGGAGCGTGCTGCGCGAATCCAAACTGTCTAAACACGTGATCCGGCATGTGCATTTTCACAATTTCGAAATAAATGAGAGGAACTCTGGCCCTCCATATGCCGTGTCCCTCCATACAAATCAGCGGTAGACGAGGTAGGTGAGGGGTGTATGGCTGCCACTCGAACTACGAAATAATCCATATATAAATAACTCTTTGAAATATATCAATAGCTTTAAACGCCTTCAATTCAAGTTCGATACCTGAAAATTTTTCATCCGGTCGAGCTCCCCTCTATAAAAATCTAGTTGCCTAGCTGGGGTCTCATCATAGGCTTTTGTGACATTACATCTGCAAGATAGGTTTTTGTTCAAAATGTTAAATTTAAAATTAAATAAAAACAAGATTCAATTTGACGATTTTTACTTGCAGCCTAGTGGAATATGTCCATCTAACTCTCGGATCTCGCATAATTGTGGTTTCAAAACCAACCTCTCCCATGCTCAAACTTGTAGCAATGTTAAACAGCCCTTGAGCTCTTTATTTTGCATTAAAGCAACCTTTGACATAAACTTGTAGCAATGTTAAACAACCATTGAGCTCTTTATTTTGTATTAAAGCAACCTTTGATATTTCTCTATATAGGTATGCTAAAACAGCACTACCCCAGGATAATGTCCCGCACACATCAAAGTCTTCGAGAAGTGGTAACCACCTAGCACGAGTTCAAATGCGTTAGTTATATTTGCTAAAAATAGTGAGCAAAAATCAATACTTGAATTGGCATAAAAATCACATTCAAATGCATTATAACAATTTATGGAGTGTACTTACCTCAAATAGACTTTATGTTTACTTGAATCGGGAAAAAGAAGCATCCCGATCATGTGCAAAATATATGCTCTCGCATGCTGTTGGATCATCACTTCAGGTGCATCTTGTGGCAACGGGTTTGCAAAACTCTCCTTTAGCCACTTCAATCTAATATACCCTCCAGGCAAGGACTCCGAAGATATTCCTAACAAATTATTACATGTGTCCCTCCAAACATGCCTATCAGTCCCTGTGACACAAGTGCCATCAGTGCTACTCCTTCACGACCTTGATCCATAGTAGCTCTAATGCGTACGGATTTTGATCGCCCCGCTTGTCTTTTGTATTGAGATGGTAATATATAAGGTATATACAAATCCGGCCAATAACGAGTATCGTCGGGAGGATGAAAACTCTCCTTATAAGCCTTTTGATAATGATTTGTTGAATACCAAGCTGAGCAATACTGGTCATAAGGCAATCTAGCACTACCATCCTGACTGGAACTAGTCGCTAAAACATGTTCACATGGTAATTTTTGTAATTGTGGTATACTACAACAACAACTGCACTCCTGGTCGTAGAGATGGACGATGTATGTACCATCACAATCTTTAACCTCCCATTCATTGTTATTGAATTGTTCAATTCTACATGACCTTACAGCCACAATCCTTTTCTGCAAGATAATCTCATTTTTTGGAGTGTACTTACTCGTCCAAATTGCACTATCACTACGCCTCTTATTAAAGTATGCGTTCAATCTATAAAACATCCATGCAACTAAGGCTTGAATTGGCATAGCACGGGCACCCTTGAGCACGCCATTGAAACTTTCGGAGCAATTAGTTGTCATCATACAATATCGCACTCCACCATCTTTACATAATGCCCATCGATCTTCATATTGCGGCTTCAAGTTTTGTTTAATCCAATCGTGGGCTTCAAGTGATAGGGATTTAATTTTCTCCCTACAATGCTCATATACCAGTGAGTCAGATGCACAACCGGCTTACCATAATAGATTTTGTAAATTGACCTCTCCATGTTTTTTCTTAAAATTAGCACTTATATGCCGCAAGCAATATCGGTAATGATGTGGTGCACTCCATGTTTGCGGTGAAAATTGATTTCTTCATTGCTATCGATTCTATTACAACTTTAGTCGTTACAATAAAAAGTTGATCTTTTTATAAAATCTCCTTACACAATGAAAATAAAAAGTTTACAACTTTATCAAACAAATGCAGAGATCGTTTATCGGTCTTCTGCTTGCGTGGGATCTTTGCCTGTGTCGGGGTTTATCCGTGGACCACCGTTGATCAGATCTGATTGCTGAAAAATTGGGCAGAGCTTCATCTATCCGCGAAGGGATTGAGAAACCGTAGCTCTTATCTCGGCGAAGTGAGATAATCACTCTTCTTAAGATTACCGCAACGGGATAATCCTAAGGAACGAACCGGGCTGCAGATCTAACTCCTCCTCCTCTCTGAAATCTGTGCACTTTAAGTCTTCAATCCGGCAGGGCTTCGCCGAGGCACAAGAATTCCAGATCTAAAAAAATGAGGCTCCGGGGCTTCTATTTATAGGCACG